ATAAAATGTCACCTTCTCCAGTATCCCATTTGTTCAGTATGTGTTGTATAAGCACATGGTGCCAGGCGCCTACTCACCTGGCACATACACTGTAGGATGGCTGTGCAGACCCCAACCTGTCTTGTCCTCTTTTCTTGTCCTATGCGTTCATTCTCAGTCTTTTTCATGGGTGAATGCAGGGTGCTCTGTCATCCTAATGGATGCGTATTGCTGCAACAGAAGGCGAAGCACCATCAAACAATGCTGCCACTCGCTGGTTATTTAGGAGACATCACAGCTGTACAAATGTAGATCCTGCAGTCATAAGAATGTGCCCGGTTTCTGTAAATCACCTGACTGGGAGGAGACGGAGAATATCTTCTACATCATTCCTCATATTAATGACTGTCCATTCCACTGCACTTTACTTTTCAAACCTAATTTACTAATATCAGACATGACCAGGATATTAGGCTTAGCAGAGAAGACAAGAATACACTCTTAGTTTATTTGTGTGAACATATTGCTGCAAAGTTGTAATACAATACATTTTATTTGCTAAAAAAAAACTTGTTTTTAGAAAATTATGGGAACTGCCACTGCAGAATGTCTTCTTAAAGCACTAGTTGCCTGGCTGTCTCTAGCTTTAGCATCTTCTGAATCATTGAGCTCCTATACTGAATTATTGTAACATGCCAGAGCATCATGGTAGTGAAGCCATTGAAATCATATGACAGCCAGGACACTAACATTTCCATAAGGAGAAATGGCAGCTTCCAGATTTTCTTAGTACAGGATCACTATATGAAGTCCGAGCTCCTATATTGAATACTTGTTTCAGGCCAGGGCATCATGCTATTGAAGTCATTGAAATCATGACAGCCAGGATACCAACATTTCCAGAAGGAGAAATTACAGCCTCCGTATTTTCTTAGTACAGGATCACTATATGAAGTCCAAGCTCCTCTGTTGAATACTTGTTTCAGGCCAGGGCATCATGGTATTGAAATCATATGACAGCCAGGACACTAACATTTCCAGAAGGAGAAATGGCAGCCTCCATATTTTCTTAGCACAGGATAACTATATGAAGTCTGAGCTCCTATATCGAATACTTGTTTCAGGCTAGGGCATCATGGTATTGAAGCCATTGAAATCCTATGACAGCCAGGACACTAACATTTCCAGAAGAAGAAATGGCAGCCTCCATATTTTCTTAGCACAGGATAACTATATGAAGTCTGAGCTCCTATATTGAGTACTTGTTTCAGGCCAGGGCGCCATGGTATTGAAGCCATTGAAATCATATGACAGCCAGGACACTAACATTTCAAGAAGGAGAAATGGCAGCCTGCATATTTTCTTAGTGTAGAATCACTATATGAAGTCCGAACTCGTATATTGAGTACTTGATCCAGGCCCAGGGCATCATGGTATTGATGTCATTGAAATTGTGACAGCCAGGACACTAATGTTTCCAGAAGGAGAAATGACAACCTCCATACTTTCGTAATACAGATTTCCTTTCATTCTTTCAGATCTGATACATTGCATGCTATAATTCTATCAGCACTTGATTCCTTGCTGTGCAGTGTTCCTCTGCAAACAATATAGAAGGTGGTGTTCAGACCATGGGGACATGGCCTGGTTTTCAATCGCAGTCAGGGCCATTCTTCAAATATGGATGCCAGCAGCCATAAGGAGTTTTGCTAAAGCAGCACCATATAAATGTCAGTAATCAGATTAGCATCACTAAAGTGGTAAGGATTAATCAATACATTTTATGCTGCACTAGAGTTTACCTTTGAAAGGTCATTCTACACAAAAACAATAGTTTAGATTTTGGCAGATGCTAAAGAGTTACACTACCTAAAAGTTTCATGTCTGGTATGGGGACTCCACTAGCTAGATCTCTGTGCTTGAGTTCCCAGTGGTCTCTGTTTAAAGGTACATTTTTTTTTCAAAGTACAGCACCAGAGTTGGTACTTACCATAAATGTGCCGGTAGCTGCTGTGTTCAGTTGAAATCTGAAGTAGTCTACCCTTGCAGCTGTGATCTTCCAGTGGTACAGGGGTTATTTGAGCAGATGCACTTGTAACAGGCACACATCAAGTACCGATTATGCCTGCCCTTTCCACCACCTTGTTCCATACAAAGAAGCCATGCAATCAATTCCAACAACGAAAAACATTCTGTAAATTGGAGGATGTGGACTTTTCATTTATCCACCCATCCTCCATTCATACGGCGCTTTTCATTTTGAGAACCTATAGTATGGATGCTATGAACGGAGCATGGGGAAGGAAAAGGTGAGCTGAGTTGGCACTTGATGAGTTCCTGTTACAGGTGCAGCTGCTCATATTGTCCCTCGCCGTGCCAGAAGATCACCGCTGGCGGAGTTTCTTGGGGGCAGAGGATTTCAACTGAACATAGCAGCCACCAGCACACAGAACACGATAATTTACAATAAGTATGGCCCCTGAAGCTGTTTTACTAAACCTTAGCTTTCATGCCTGGGGTCTCCAGTTATATGACCTTTGCATAATGGGCCGATTAACCATTATTTCAGAAGGTGGACAATATTACATGTTTTACTGTAAAATAAGATCTGAGGCCGTCTGTAGTAGCTATCTGCAGGAATCTGGGTTTTAAAAATGTAGCCAGATCACTCAGGTTTTATCATAGGTGTCAAAGTGAGCTTGAGTTCTTGAACCACAGGAGTCACACACCTTTAAAATTTAAGGAAATGGAGCCAACTTCCTAATTTTGTCAAAAGCCTTCCACAGCCATTGTGAAATTCTAGATTATTTCAACCTGATGGAAAAGATATTCTTTTGTTACTTGTGGGCCCTCTTATTGCTATATAAGCTGCTACTTGTGGTGACTCAAACCCTCAGAATAAACTTGGCCCATTGAGAACAGGAATTATCGCAAAAGCTATCTGTAGAACACAGTTCCAAAAAATTCTTCTCTTGACCTAAAACCTCTTCCATAACACTGATATTTCAGAAAATAATTTTAAGCTCCTCGGTTGATGGTACAAAGACACAGTGCAGTTAAGTAGATGGGTCTCTTGGACCGTTCCATTGTGCTAGAGATGTGGACTGGCCCTTGACACCTTTTCCCTTACCTGATGAAACTGTTCACTAAGAAAACCTTTTTAGCTGTAGATTGTTAATTTAATAACTTATTTCACAATATGCTCTTGTCTGTTCCCAAAAATATGAAATCTGTGATACCCCACCAACAAAATGCAGCTAAGAGTCTGATCCTAAAATATTGGAGGACCCGTAGACCACCATCTGCGGCCGAATGGATATTGTGAGTAGACAAAATACACCTGGAGGAAGTTCATATTCTAAAGAAAGTGGACTATGATACCTGTTATAAAATCTGGGCTCATCTTGCTTAGTAAATGATTCACCACCTTTAGATTTGCAGTACTGGACTTCCATGTACTACAAAATTAAAAGATAAGTTCGCCTTTCTGACCATGCTTCATATTTAGGGTGACACATGAAACATGGTCGCATTCTGCAGACCCCCTATCCCAAACCAACCCCCCCCCCCCCCTTCACTCTACAAAATCTAGGGGTTTTTCCATCCGACAACTTGTGTCATTTTTTAATCACAGCATCACAGGAATCTGTGAATGGAAAAGCTTCCACTGCATTAGAGGGACTCGTAATTCTCAAAGGAGCCCAAGTGTGGTGATGTCATCACACTTGTAGTCCATTGATACTTCTTCCAGCTCGTAACTGAAGGTCTGTACGAGGCTGGAGGAAGAGTCCGCCGGAACCTATGTTCTGCACCTGCAACCCACTTATTGCAGTTGCAATGCTTTGCAGGCTCCAATGCAAAAAAAAAAAAATGCATTTCTTTTTTTTTTATTATTCAATACTGTATATGGAAGGTGCATTTATAATTTATTTGCAAAGAGTGGAATTAGCCTTTAATATTTTTTGCAGCCGTTTTAGCAGGCATACCTAAGAAGTGGACAAGGCATGCTTTGTGTTGGAACAGTACCAGATGGGAAATTTATTGAAACAAGCAGCAGTCTGATAGTATACCTGTCTCATTGCTCCTGTATTTGTTGCCTTACTGTCTGGTCAGTATAGTAAGGACTGATGCGCACAAGTAGCCGCACTGCACGCACAGCTGCCGGTGTGCCTTGAGAGGACACACTGCCAAAGTGTCCATGCTGGCACATTGCATCGCGGCTGCAGGGGAGTGGAGGGAGCTCCAACAATGCATAGGCCATGAGAACCTGTGGGTGACCTCACTGCTCCAGGGTTACGAGCCATTGTTGAACGCTCTCTCCTCTCCCCTGCAGCCACCACTGGCTGACACTGGGGATCACATAACTGAATTCGAGTGGGCTGAAAATAGGCAAGTATGTGCATCCTTTTTACACAGGTTAGCATAGGTGTCAGGAGTGGGGAGGGGACATTTTTATGGCTAGATAAATCTAGAGTTCCACTTTAAAGGATAAGTTCACCGTTTTTAAGTTTGGAACATGTAACATGCTCCCTCTCCTGCAGCTCTCCCCTGATTCCCCCCCCCCCCCCCCTCCCTGTGACAACAGGCCGGGGATCTTCTCCCCGCACCCACGGTCACAATTTGAAAAAAAGAACTTGGCCATGCGGGACTCTGCCCACACAGCCGCATCATTCATTCACTGAGTTCCACAAATGAATGCCTACAAGTACTGTCAGCCTTTGTGGCTGACGGTTTTGTAGTTCTTCATGAACTGTGAGGGTGCTGGTGAGTGCTTCCGTAGTCCGTTGAGTTTCCTGGACTGAAGCAACTGCCTGCCGATATCGGGCAGACAACTACACTGATGGTCTGACAGAAAAAATTAGTAAATGCATATTTTTTTACCTGAGGAAAAAAGAGCATTTTTTTGTTCTAAGAGGTGATCATATCTTTCAAGTTCTATTCACACAGTGGAGTTGAGATGGAATGGCTTCCGCCATAGCCTGCTACCCTGAAAAAAGTACTGCATGCAGTACTTTTTTTATATAAAGTGTTACTAAACCCACAACAGTAAAATCAGTCTGTATATGCAGTACAGCATGCTTGTTTTATACTCACTATGGAACCTAAGGGGTTAATCCTCTGCATTGTGTAAAAAAGGCTGTTTGATCTAGATTCTTTGGTCCTCCCTTTCTTCCAGTGCCCCCCTCTTATCTCCCAATGAGACATATCGTGTTGAGACACTCTGCACATGCTCAGTTTGGTGTGTATTGCTAGAGAGGTTTTTTTTCTTTTCTTGGGAGAGTGCATGTGATCAGCACAGGGCCAATCAGCACTGTCCAGAAAGAGGTTAGGGGTTCTGCATTCTCCTAGAGAGAATGCAAACTCCTCCTACAAGCTTTAACATGTGCTCGGCTGGACACTGGTAGAAGTCACAAGACTGCTCTAACTGCTGATAAGAAAAGGTATTTTGCAGTTTATATTTACTAAAATAATTGCATCTCCATGTTGTGTGTACTATGGGAGACCAGATATAGTGAATGCAGGGTCCTGGGTTTAGTAACACTTTAAAGTGTCCACCACCGTAACACAGTGGTGTGAACTGACACCATATAGAGAAAGGCAAATGCCTTGTCTTTGCTTTGGAACTGTGCTGGGCAATGTTGCCTAGCATATCCCAACGCAAACAGTGTGAATGGACCCTTATTCTTTTCTAGAGTGCTTACTCTGGTGTTATTTTGGGGTTTTTTTCACTTACAGCAATAGTTGTTGATAGATGTCAGTAGTATTTTATTTCAGGTACTTATATAGCACCGTCAATTTACACAGCGCTTTACATATTGTGGGAACTCGCTTCAAGGTGGTAGAGCCTTTTAAACGCACACAGCTACTCGCTTTCTTTAAGGGCCTTTTTAGCCCACTTTTATTTACAAGAAAGTCCAAATAAACAAGAATTCTTCCCACGCAGGGGTATCCATCATCAAGCAAATTCATAGTATTTAGCCTCCTGGCTTGCAAGCAGTTTTAAGTCTGCCTCCTGCAGACTCTTCCCAAAAGGTTCTTTTGGCACCCAGCGAACCTTTTGCACACAGCTATTCTGTAGCAGCCCCTTGCTGCTTTTGGCTTCCACCTCTCCTAGGTGTAGCCCACCTGACTCCACGGCAGAGACCTCCTGTCTGCCGGGGTGGAGCCCGCCTGACTCCTAACTGCTGGGGTCGAGCCCTGCTGACTCCTAGCTGCCGGGGTGGAGCCCAGAACCATGGTTAGGCCTCTATAAAAAGGCCTGTACACACCTGTGCACTCAGTGTGCTGGGGGTTCTCAAAACATGGACCCCGGATTGGAGATTTCATCCCTCCCAGATCTCTTCGAAATCTCCAGGCTCCAGATCCCAAAAAACAAACTTAATAAATAAATGAGGAAACCGAAAAGTCAGTTTCCTCTGCAATACATTAACTCTCTGGAGCCCCTCAACCTGCCTGGTTGAGAATCCAGGGTTTTCAACTGGAGTTTGACCGTGGCAGGACACCGCACTGCCACAATATATATTGTGCATTCACATCAGTCCCTAACCCTCAAGGGGCGTACAATCTAAGGTCCCTAACTCACATTCATACATACACATACTAGGGCCAATTTAGACAGGAGCCAATTAACATTCCAGCATGTCCTTGGAGTGTAGGAGGAAACCTGAGTGCCTGGAGGAAACCCACGCAGCCACAGGGAGAACATGCAAACTCCAGGCAGGTGGTGCAATGGTTGGGATTCGAACCAACGAATACCAACCTAGTACTGCCAGGCGGAAGTGCTAACCACTTAGCCACTGTGCTGCCCATAAAAGCTGATCTTGGTGCGTTTCACCATTTACAGTGGAGGTAGCCATTTGGTGAGTTTCTAAGTTTACGCTGAAGCAGAGACATCATTGTGGGACAAGACAATCTGTGGTTCAGGCCTGAGTCTATCTAGTTCTTAGTGTATTGGTAATCTCAAACTAGTTAGCGTTTAAAACTGCTGCCACCTGCTCTTGCCTCATCTGATCATTCTAATGCAAGGGTGATCTTCCTGAGCTACTGGCTGAGAGGTTTGAAGCTGCTGTTTGCACAGTAAGAGAATATCACATGGGAGAATTAGGAAGGAATTTTCCTCGGGGACGTTCAATTGATTTGAGCTTTGGTATTTCATCTTGTGAGATGCAGCAGCTGGCTGTTAGGGGAATTCTTGGCTGGGAGGATGAGGTTAGATCAGGTTGAGCTTGCTGTAACTGTACGATGCCTGTGCCACATGCATAGAAATGAAGGCAGCTTGGAGCACATATTCATCTCGGTGACAGCAAATGTTCTCTCGGTCCAACAGGCTAATGATTAACTGTGAAGTTTCTGCATTCTGATTTACATACTGCTCCATGATGAAATCTGTCACTTGTTATGACATTTCAAAAAAGTAATAAATCATAGCTTTTTTTATCAAACATAAGTATCTCCTGTTAGGCTTCGTTGGGCATAGCGTACACCCATGCAGGGCCGTGTTGACCCGCACAAGGATGTAGAGGTGTGTATCCCCATGCAGGCAGTCCTCATGATGTCATCTGGAACACAGCGGCCACACGGACACAACCGCTGTGTCCCATTTGGGGACATGGACCTGCACCCATGCAGATGGCACATTGGGACACAGAGACTGTTTCTGTGAAGCCACTGTATCCCATGAAGCTGCTGTGGCCCAACTGACATCAGTGGGACTGCCAGGGATGCATGGAACATCTGTGCATTCCTGTGTAGGTAAAGAAGTCCCTGCATGGGCTAATGGTATGGCCTGAGGGCTCATTCATACATGCAGCAGCTCTTATCGCCTGTTTGAAAAATGATCTGCGGTGGATTGCTTTTCAGAGGCATTTGACAAACAGTTAGGAGGTCCTTTTGTATGTGTTGTGTTTGCTGTTGGTACCATCTAGGCCAGGGGTTTCCAAACTTTCTAAACAAAGGGACAGTTTACTGTCCTTCAGACTTCAGGGGGGCCAGTCTATGGCCGTTGGGAGTTGAAATTGTCCTGGTGTCAGAGGAAGTAAACAATGCATCTTTGGTATTAGAGGGAGGAATAGTGCCCCATTGCTGGTGTCAGTGTGAGGAATAGTGCCCTATCATTGGTGTCAGCTTGAGTGCCTTATCATTGGTGTCAGTGGGAGGAATAGTGCCCTATCGTTGGTGTCAGCTTGAGTGCCTCATCATTGGTGTCAGTGGGAGGTATAGTGGGAGGTATTGTTGGTGTCAGTGGGAGAAATAGGGCCCCATTGTAGGTGTCAATGGGCCCCATTGCTGATGTCAGTAGCTGGATATATGCACCCATTGTTGGTGTCAGTGGGAGGAAAAGTGCCCCATTGCTGGTGTCAGTGTGAAGAATAGTGCCCTATCATTGGTGTCAGCTTGAGTGCCTTATCATTGGTGTCAGTGGGAGGAATAGTGCCCTATCGTTGGTGTCAGCTTGAGTGCCTCATCATTGGTGTCAGTGGGAGGTATAGTGGGAGGTATTGTTGGTGTCAGTGGGAGAAATAGGGCCCCATTGTAGGTGTCAATGGGCCCCATTGCTGATGTCAGTAGCTGGATATATGCACCCATTGTTGGTGTCAGTGGGAGGAAAAGTGCCTCAAGGGCCAGGTAAAGACAGCAAAGGGCCGTAGTGTGGAGACCACTGATCTAGGCAGATAAGCCCTAGCCACCCTTGTAAGCGTGCCCTGATGGATTTGAAAGCAATGTTATGTGGATACCCATATCATCCGATCGATTTTCGGTAGATCAGTGGATTCATGCCACTCTGTAATTGTTTGAATGGGAAAAGTGCTACTATAATGTACTTTTAAGTATAATTAAAGTTTGAACAAAACACACTTGGGGATGGAGTACTGACACTATCTGACAGCGGAGTTTACTCAGGCTGCAGTGCGGATCAGGGAGTACAGCTCAATGGGGTGGTGGGTTAGATGCTCTCACCTTGCCTTGAATAGGCACTGACTCGTGTAAATAATCTTTATCAGTGTAGTCAACCAAAGTTTTAAAATCATTGTTTCTGTGTATACTTTGAAAATAAATGCATACATTTGCTCAATACATATTCAGCCTTTACTTCCAGCACCAGAAAGTGTTCATTTAAATGTGAACAATATTGCATTCACTAAAGCCGGCCATAAACAGATCAAAATTTGGTCGGTTCTTCAGGGACTGGCTGAATTTTGCTCCATCTATGGGCAGGGTGAGCATACAGAAGTCAAGTCTACTTTTTTGCCCCTTGATCAGCACTGTCCGCTATAGCTGGCAGTGCTGATCAGTGTATTTTTGATGGCAGGGAAATCTCCCCTCTGAGAGGATTACCCATCCACCTTAAATGTATGGATGGGGGAATAGAGACAGGTTTTTTTCATTCAACTTGCTAGTTGAATGAAAAAACTGATTCATCTTTGGGCTGCCTAATGATGTGAAACACCAAAAACCCCTTACTAGCCAGAGATCCTTTGATCTAGGGTGCCTAGGATCTAGGCTTTTAAAAAATATCATTTAAATTCTAAGCCTCGGTTCACATACAGGAAATGCAGCAAATCCAGTGTGTTTCCCGCACTGCATCCAAATGGCACTGTGTTCATGCAATCTGCTGCGGGTGTCAATGTTAAGTTAATGACCCTCCAAAACATGTCGCAAAACACTGTGATTGCCAGAATCGGATTGTGAACACCCATGCAATCCAATTCCAGTGCGGCAAAAAAAAAAGCAGCCTGCACCTTTTTCGTGTGGATGTGGTGCGATTTGAGCCATACAAAATGAATGGGCTCAAATCACACTGCAAAGAATGCAATGCGATTCCTATCCGAATCACATGTAGTTTCCCACACTGCATATGTTTGAACCCAAGGTTTTGGTCAAATACACCAATTATATTCATTTGATAAGTGAAAAAATACTTGGTAATCCTGGAAGATCATCAGGGGAATTCAAAACAGCCCTAACAACAGTGTTCTGGTAGTAGCTCTCCTATGAACTACCTTCGCCTAATTCAGGCAAGCATTTTCGGCAGTGTCCGTAACATCACCATCACGTGCGAACAGTTCAGGTCATTCGAACTACCACCACTTTAAGAATCTATATCTGTGGCAACGAAAAATTCTCAATTTCCCATCAGGCTTTGCACACCCCTATATAAAACACGTTGGCCATGCGCTTGTCAGAATGACAGGTACAGAGGCCAGGACGGGTGAGAGGTCACCGAGGTTGGGATTGTAGAGCGTGGACATTCGTTCCCCAGTGCAAACATGGACGAATTGTATGCAAGCACCGACACTTTTGGTGCTACCCCCTGACAGAATTTTAAAGGCTG